TTAGTCCTCCTTCCCTAAGTCTTATCACAGTCTCTCTTGCCCCGTAAGATCCGCCTGCTCTCTCCCTGGTTCACATAATTCACTTGACCCCTGCCACCCCATCTGTGATACTTGAGGCATCATTCGCCCTCCCTTGCGCCTGGGTGACTAATTCGAGGCTCAAGCCTCTGAGTAAGTCTCATCGTCAAGTCTTTGTTACATTTACCGTGTCTCTGTTAAGACCTACTGTCAGCCAACTAGCTCCAGTATCCGCCGCGTCTATCCTGTTTCTATCCCTAATACCAAGTCTATGACTTGCCATGCCCTAGTCTCTCGTGTGCCAACCCACAAATGTTGTGGCAATGCCTGCTTTGATTAGGTTCAATGTTAAACCACAACGTTTGTGGGTTGGCACATAAACGTTTGGTCAAAGGATCGGCTGCACTTGTCTCTTTGACGAGTTGTGTGGTGCTAAGAATGGCGAGACTTACTGACGAAGCCGGTGATACGTCTGGGAATATACCACATCCACGGTCCTACTCTGGAAATGATCATGCATACAATGGGCTCCGGACTAGGTGCGTTTCTCTAAGTCTTCCTACCAATATGACCAAGTTGCGAAAACAAGGCTAAACAACTTATATTATGTATGTATGCCTTATCCCTACTAATCGTCTATCATTTTAATGATACACTAAATTTTCTGATCAACACAGTGACCAGCTCACGGCTAGTACGTTTTATCTAAACTTATTTATATCTATTTAGCCCTATTCTTAAGTTTATCTGCCTCTCCTTATCATCTATCATTTTTCTGTTGAATGTATACTAATTAAAGTCCTAGTAACAAATCCTTCAAATAAGCTTCATAATTGCATATAGTTTGATCCTACGATAATTGAATTTCCACTAAAGAAATTTCCCAAAAATGTAATGCACTGCTCTTTTATGTTTCATACCTATCCATCCTTGGAGCATAGCATTAATTACAACCTCTTTGTATAAGCCCTAAAATGAAACCACTAATTATATTATCACACTCTAGATTTTAATATTACAATGTTCTAAATTAGTTTTTAGCATAATATTAGTATGGATTTTCAGACAGGATAAAAATAGCCGCGTACGATATGAGACGATAATCCAGAAACAAAATCTAGTTGGACAGAGGGTCTATTATATGAATGCAGTGATTTTGAGTCTTCTGATTGCTAATAATTGGGCTGACCCTAAGTTAACCTGAATTTACGAGGTAACTGGATTTCATCTTACCAAATGAAGCATCGTTTTGCCATGTCTTGAAGCTTATGTTGGTTCATTCTTTCGCTTGTCGTGGAAATTATAATCAAAATTGGAGATCATTCTTATGACACTTAAACTTGGTCATTTATCTTTCCCTACTTTACTCGAACTTATGTTATTTGTGCCTGTCTGCCTGTGTAACATCTACGAAATTGGATTCCTGCATGAGCTTCATCTATTTATCCACCAACGTTTAGTTAACATAATTATAACATACCTGGATTTCTGGGCCTTTATTAACTGTGGTAAAAAAATCATCGCGATTGTAATGAGGGTTAGTTGAGCTTCTCTTATTTGCTGTAGATACATGTAACGGGATAGGGGGTTTAATAGTTCTCACGTGTTTGCTTTACTCTCATGTACTCTTCATTCCCTTACGAATAAAGTGCCATGTCAAATTTGGTAGATTCAGTTTAGTTTATTGTTCTTGTCACTTATTACGGCCGCAATCTATCGCACTGCTTCAATATGAATGATAACTTTTAGGGGTGAAGAACAATGGATAATTTTAGCTCGTAGTGATTAGGTTTCGAAACCACCAGTTTATCTTCAATAAGAGCTGTATGCACCTTTGGTTGCATAAGGCGGTAAAAGACTGGTTGTTGAATTTTCCCACAATTATGAGTAGGCATCACATTTCTATCGAATTTTACATAGAATAGTTTCGACTGCTCAGGTCTCGTTAGCATCCTTTTAAGAATTTACCTATAGTTAGTGGGGCGTATCATTATACTCTACAGATCAATTGCATCGCCACCGCCGTCAGTCCCCCTGACTTCCAGGGCAGGACTGAATTTGAAGGAAGGCCAGGCCTTCCCATGATATATTTTGTTAGTGGTATGTTCGATAAAATAAACTTAAAATTGCCCACTACTTATTTTAGAAGCTACCAGTGTATCTTGAATAAGTTATATAGCTATTAGTAAAGGAGTAAATTTTTCTATCACAACTCCTTTTACCCTTCGTCTTCTCGCCAACATAAATGACCTGACTATCTGTGTTGGGGTTAATTCGATTAGTATGCCAAAGTCATCTTAACTGCATTAAAAACCGTAATGGTACCAATGTTGCCAATAAATCTATCTTGTAGATAAATGTGATTGTACGAGATGGGTTGACACCTGCGGCTGTGACAAAACGCTTCGGAACAATTGGCAAGGAGAGTCCTGCTTGCTTTGTTTAATTGAGTTGTATTGATGCATTAAGAGCGACTGTTCTAACCTGTTGATTTTTAATCGAGGGGGGGATTTGAAGATATTTTAGGGGCATGATAATTATGTCGAATAGGCTTCAGCCTGAGATTTTCGCACAGGTGCTGCTCACTTCATTATTTATTTAGGTTAATCGTTAAAAAATACACTTGATCTATGGTTTTTCTATCTCCCACCTTAATGGTGAAGGTATAGTTCCCTATACTCTTCATAAGGCTGGACAAATTCTC